GTACTATCTTGATCTATCTTGTACTCTTATGATTTCAATGATTTATTATATTGATTTAATATTATTTATATATGTTTTACATGTTTTGGTCAATCAACAATCTGGTATAACGATTACATGTATACAGTAGGGGGTTCTGTCCACTGATTTTATAGAACGCTGAGACTCCGAGAATGATACAACCCTATCTTTGGTAGTTTCTCTGGTATACCTTTGAAAGGAATTGATGGTACATAATAGTTATGTGTACACATGTATAAATATGTTGTATTGTTTTTGTTTGTGTAATTGCTTTCTCCTTTTGCGGCCGTTTTTTATTTCAGGACTCTGTTGATCCATTCGCTCACGGACATGGTCGGTTGACTGAGCTCCCGGTGGAGGAGAGATTTGGCGTGCTGCGACAGACGCAGCTGAATGCAGAGCTGACAACTGAAGCTTACTTTCGAGTCAGTGCTTTGAGAATGCTCAAGTCCATTCAGCAGAAGCTCTCAACTGCAGGCGGCTCACGCAAAGCAGCTGAGACAGCCTTGAGTGACAAGCAGTTGCCTGGCAAGTTGGTTAAGACACGTTTGCAGTTTAACCATATTGAAACTACTATTGAAACTATTGATGTTGTTCAGACATGTTCAGACATGTTCAGACTATATATATTCACTTTTTAGAGATCACAAAACATTGGTTGTTTGATGCTGTTTGAAGATTGACTGGGAGCAGGTTTCAGAGGGCGTGCAAACGTGCCTACGAAGCGGCAATTGGGCTTGCCGCGTGGGCCGGCAATTTCGAGCCGAACTCATTGAAGCTGTACTATGAGGAAAGCTGTGGAACGGGGTGGTTTCAAACAATGCAGCAACCTGCTCCAGAGTTTTGGGATGATGTCAGCGACAATGAGGAAGATGCAGCGATGGGCCGTGGGGCTGATCCGTTTCTTGTCCAATATATTTTTAACATCAATTTTTGATAATTTTTGAAGGTTTTGAAATTTTTTGAAATGTTTTGGATACGTGTGTTAATTTTCAATGTTTTCAAATTGTTGTCTTTCGTTTTGTAGATAGTCTAGCAATGTTTTACAATTTTCAATATACTTATGTCATTTTATGTCATGTATCTCTAAATCGCAGGACCTTGAGCCAGCAGTGTGATCAAGTCTTGCAAGACATGGCCCGCCTTGCGGTTGATGAAGACGCAGCTGATGAGAATGAGACGAAAGATCCAGATCTACGCGAGGTTGCCCTGAGGCGTTTGACGGAAGCAGAGAGAGCAGAAGTTGTTGCGGAGATGCCAGCTGAGGATGCCAAGGCACCAGACCCCATGCCAGCTGGTGTGACACCGAGGACACTGGCAGCTGCTTTGTGACTCGGCATCACGAATGCTCCTAAGTTTTCATATGTTCAATTGCATTTTTTTTGACCGGTGGAATATTTTTATAGATTGCTTATGCCGGCAGGGCCATTTTCAAGTTGAGGAGCACTGGAGGAGACCGATGGAATTCCTTATGGCGCCTTTGTTCCTTTCTTCGTTCTCCTCCATATGGCTGTGACCGCTTATGGATCAAAAATGAGATGTCTAGCAAAAACCTGCATTGGTATCAGAAGAACACACAGATCATGGCTCAGGCACATGCTTTGCAAGATCCTACTCAAAGGCTTGGATCACGCACCTCCAGATTTGAGCGCTGGGTTCAGCAGGGCGAAGCCCGAAGAAAGCAGATGTCGGACAATTTGAAGCAACCACAAGCCTTGGAGCAGCGTGCCTAAAGATTGTTTGTTTTGTTATTTGTTTATATTTCTTCTGAGGCTTCAGGAAACGTCTTTGGAGGGGTTTGTTTTGTTGTTTCATTTTTTGATGTCTTTTGATTGGTTTGGGGGTGTTAGGAGACAGTCTTAGCATGTCTTAGCATGTCTTAGCCTGGTGCTCATGGGGATTTTTCTGCATGCAAAGCTGAGGACAGGACACGTGGTTATCTTCGTATGTGACAATGGCAAAATGGAAGTTGGGTTGGTGACCAGCGTATGGAAATCTGGCAAGAAGAAGCGGTTGGTGATTGCGCCATGCTTCCTTGAATGTTGCCATGCTTTCCGTATTGCGCAGCTGCAGCCGAGCGAAAGCAAGGACAAATATGTTGTTTACTTTTCTACGTTTTTTTTTTAATGGCTTTCTAATATATATGTTTATATAATATTTTATATATTGTTTGATTTGCTTGTTCTTTTTGAACTCTTTTTATTTGGAGATTTGGAGGAACACCCACGGGAGCTGACTTGCAACAGTACGTCTGCGTGCTATGTCCGTCCATTTGATTCGCTTGTTGCAATTCTTGACTGTGAGCCCACTAGCACCGTGCCCTCTTATTTCATTGTAATTTTGTATATTTTAGTTTTGATCCTTTGTAAATGTTCATTTCCAATGACTCTTTGTTGATCTTTGTTGAAAAATCAATAGGAATGTAGCTTCCACAAACGCATTCATACACCTTTAGAGGGTGGGCTCTCCCATTTCATAGACATATGGTTTATCATATGCAGGGATATTCCAATAAACATCAATAAACTACTCTGAACATATTCACCTGCAGTTGGTAGGGTCTATGCATTTTATAGAGAATGCTTGGGATGTTGGAATCATTAATTTGTCAACAAGATGAAGCAACAAACCCGGCAAAACATCCTCAGACTAAGCGTAATGTGTTGTTTTCCCCGGCTTCCGCTAAGGTAAAAGGAAACCGCACGAGCTGGTGGATCAATTCTACACTCAAGTCACTGCAGCCTCTTTTGACGCAGCCATCCATGCGAAGAATGAAGTGGCCGGTGAGTGGAGAATGGACGGCATTTCCTCTGCCAAGGCTCCTCGAATCAGACAAAAGAGGAAGTTCTTCAGAGCAGCCAAGTTCATCAAGCGGTCTGCCCAACAGAGTGCGAAGAAGAAGAAGCCACCCGCGGGAAAGGTGAAGCCAGCCGCAAAGGCCAAGGCGATGATCAAGCCCACGGTTGAGAACTACAAGCGCTCAAAGCAGGGGTTTGAGCTGATCAAGCAGCAAGCCTCACATCTACTTGATCTTGATCGTGCAGCCTTTCCGAAGAACCCATTGTTTGACCCGGAGAGCGGGCATTGCCGTCTCAGGTTGCTTGAATGTAATGTGACATTTTGAAGTTTTTGTGGCCCACAGCTGTGCTCAGTCTACTAGAATGTTGATTTTTTTGAGGTTAGACGTCCAATATCTTTCAAGTTGGTTGGCATATGTTGACATTATTTTTGTAAATTTGTTTTTGAATATGTTTGTTCTTGTCAAGTGTTTGTTCAATCTTTCAGGTTGCCAGAAGCGGCCGGCCAGACATGGGAGACCATTCTAGAGAAAGCGCCCCAGTACTTCAACTACGCCTTCGAGACCAGGAAGATCCAGCTTTGGGGAAGCCAAGTGCACAGCTTCATTGAGACCATCAAGCAGCAGCTTTTGAAGAACCCGCCAGTCAGAAGTGCGTGGCTGCGGTGGATTAAGCAGCTGTTGGAGTTTTCAGGATAGGGCGATGACTGTTCCAAGCTTTTCTAATTCATGCATTTTAGATGCGTCATTTAGTGACGCTTAGCTTTTTGCAATATCTGGTAGCAGGTCTATGATGATCTACGCTGATTTCAGGTTCACACAGGTTTTGACTCTGCGTGTTTCAACAGGTGATACATCATACATCTTGATACTGATTTATGTTATTTTACAATCTTTTGTACATTTTCCAGTAGCTTTTAGAGATTGTTGGGTTTGTTATTTGGTTTCCTTTAAGCAAATCAGACCGTTTTTTGTTTCCTTTATGTGTTTTTCTTTCTTTTCATGCCTGTGGAGCCTGCCAGAAATTATGTCCATAGCTGGACCTATCAGATGCAGACCATTTGCATCTCAGCTCACTTTCACTTTAGTGTGGGGTTGAAACCGTGCCTGCAGACATATGGTTGGAGGATGTCTTTGCTGTGCGCCGTGGGAAAAAGTGAACTTTCCGGTGCGTGCTGAAATGTATCTTGAATTTGGTACTTGGTGAACAACACGCTCACTACTTTTAGAAACAAATTTTAACACTCACTTGTAGGTAACCTGCTGGCTCATTTTCCATGTATACACATATACTTTCAGACGTTGGGATGGATGATTTAATAGACGCTCACTTAGGGTCATGCCCAGGCATTCTATGTAGCTGGATGTTTGCTGGTGGGTCCTGCCTACCATTTTATATCTATAAAATCTATGTCTAGACCCCCCCCCACAGTATGGTTACGGGTATATTATATCCATTCTCTCTCCTGTAGCAGGACAGCAAGAGTTGGGTCAGTTTTTCACAGACTGCCAGGATGTCCTACACCTTGTTGCTGTGTAGGTACAGCTACAGCCTCAGGTGACCTACTCAGGTGATCTATAGTTCACACCTACACCTCAGGATGTACTACACTCATCGACTCGGTCACCTGAGGTATAGAAAAGGAGGAGATCGATCGCCGTTTCTCGAGAACATTCCCCTCTTTTTCTCGTGTCGAATTCGGAAAATCTCGGTTAACGCTGAGCGTGCCCTCAAAAGCGGGTGTGGTTTTTGAAAAAATCACTCGCTTAAGCTGAGCTCGCTTATATAAACGGTTTGTGATCAAGCCGTAGCAAAAAATTGCTGATCAGTCTTATTGGTACCTATATCCATGGAAACCTAAAGCCCATGAGCCTGAAAGATCGCATGCGTCAAGCTCATAGCACACCATTGTAGTAAAGAATCTGGATTGCTTGACAGGAACCTAGCTCCCTTAGCACGACTTTTTGCGCAGTTCCCTCAGCACTTTGTCACAAGATGGAGTTGTTTGAGGGATGAATCCTCCTAAAAGACTAGCAGTACCATTCAAATGGATTCAAACTGTCGGACCACCCCCAGTGAAGCTGAAGCACCTTCCCCCCCTTCTGGCAGGTTTCATGTTTCTTTGAGAAAAGATCATCCTATATATTTTCACTGACAGTCGAAGATCTTCGACCTTGCCAGGTCCCTTTACCCAAGTTTCCCCTGGAGAAGGCGTGGAAAGACATCGGGCGTTTTTTCAGCAGTTGAGTTGGAATCAACCTCAGGACCTTTTCCCTGAGGGGAAGACCTCTTTCCTCCAGAACATCTATAGGATTTGTATGCTACGCTATGGAGGGGTGTCATGCAAAAAACATGATGCCCATCTTGACAAAGCCCTGACATTGGAAGTTCCCTGGGTAGCTGGCTCTTGTTCAGATTGAACCTGGGCCTAAGAGGGGTTTCGCACCACTTAGAGAATGTTAGAGAGACACTGGAATTATCCATAAGGATCGGAAGCTATGCGCTCTTCATGAGTTTTTGGCATTTCATGCGACCTGATGAATCATGCAATGATGCCCAAGTGAGGATTTTTTCTTTGATGTGATTAGTGATGAAGCTCGTTCAGGAGAAGGCTTACAGCCAAGCGTGGCCAGAGCACTTGAACCGTCAGGCCAGAAGGGCAGGTTCTTAAAACATATACGCCGGTATGACCTTCCGGGAAGCGTTGCATTTGCATGTGCACACACATGCAGTAAGCGTTCACTGTAATTTGATGCAGCTGGTGAAGCCACCAGCGTTCTTGAAAGCGTGAGAGCACTAGAGAGCAAGCGAGCCGGGGCTCAAGGCATTGAGGTAAATGAATCAAGCCCAGTTCGAAAAGGATTATATAACATGCAAGACATAGCAACCAGCTTGGATCAGGACGATTGCTCGAAAGAAGTCTGGCCTGGAAGGAAATTGGCAGGGTTTTAGTGCTTCAGTACTGTTCCAGCAAAACAAGCTAGGCAGGCGGAGAGGCAACACAAAAATACTCCAAAGTGTAAGGCCACGTAAACATGGTGCTCCGCGCTGAAGAGAACTCCAAGAGCGATGAACACGGCGAACTCCACGCTGAACCGAACTCCAATCTTACTGAAGCCACGAAGCAAATCCCATGGCGCCGCCGTGATCTGGCCATGCCGGAGGAAGAGGCCGGAGACAGACGATTTTTCGGAAACCGAGGCCGCCGCGGATTTAATATCGGAAGAAATTCTCAACAAGCCCAATCCAAGGAGGTCAAAACATCGATGTTTCATTGTTGTTGCTTGGAATTGACTTGTTGTTTATGGAGTTCGTAGATTGTAGGCGGGTGTTGTTGATGTTATTGCTGCGGTTGTTGCTTGGTGCCTTGAAGTGCCTTGGGTAGATTTTTGGTCCCTGTATCTCCCTGTTTCTGGTACTGGATTTTCAAGAATGTCCATTCTGGTGCTCCAGGAAGGTTTGGGCCTCTTCCACGGCCAGGATGGGAAAGATGGAGAGGAGATCGAGAAGGTGAAAAAGAAAGGTAAGAAAGAAAAGAAAGGAGGCCGTTTCCGCTTTTGGGCCCATTTCCAGGGTGCTCTTCTCCAGCGCTTGTGAAGAGTGCCAGCACCTCTGGCGTGTGGCTCTTGTGTTGGTGACCCGGTTCGTCTTCTTCAATTTGTCCCGGTCGGTCGTAGTGACTGACTGATCTGCGTGTTTTCACAACTGAAGGAAAGACAGAGAAGAAAGACAAGAAAGACAAGAAGGACAAGGCCAGCCACTTGCCAATCTGTTTAATTTCAGTATTGTTCGGCTGCTCAGAAGAAGAAGAAGGAGAAGAAGAAAAGCAAGAAAAAGAAAAAGAAGCCCTGACCCCAGCTGTTTGAAGTTCCTGCTCGGATTCACTATGTTTACATGCTCAGACGTCCTCGTATTTGAAGTCTCTGCTTCAGAAAATCCTCTTCATCTTCCTCTTCATCGTCCTCCAGTGGCCAAGCAAGCATTGGAAGTCGAAGGGTAGGGCATGGGGCATGGCAGCAGTCGAAGTTCGGCTCACATTGGACCCCTGAGTTGGTCAACTCAGTTGATTCACAGGACCCCTGGTGCGGGTGCCTCAAACGACCAGGAGTTTCACCAACAAAAGCGCATTTCATGTCAATCACATTTGGACGCAATACGACAAACATGTGTCTAAAAAAAAGAAAACACATAAACAACCATCACTTCTGTACGGAATTCTTGCTTTATTTCAAGATACGCTGTGCAACATAGGTCCATTCTGCTCCCAGATTCCGAATCCAGGCTCATCGTCAGACTCATCAGCTCTGCGAAAGAAGAGAAGAAAAGAAATGAAGCAGAAACAGATTGAGGTCTGGATTTGCCACTTCCTGCATAGATTGGTTGCCTGCATAGATCCTGTGAAAATCATGTCGGCATTTGAGAACTTTTGATTGCAGGCGCAGAGGCAGAAGGCCAGAAATTACCTGGTGATGCGGGGCCAACGACCTCAGGATTGAAATTGTTTGAATGATTTTGTTATGATTGAGTCCATGCTGCAACAACACTAGGCAGCTTGAACATGCAAACGTGCCTCCAGGCGTCGTCTCCCTGTTGGGTATATACCTTCAAGAGTCCTGATTGAATTCACCGAACTGGCGCCGCCAAGGCCTGAAGACACCGGATGGGCAATTCACTGAGCAAGTGACCAATTTCGAGAGCAGCTTCCGCGAAGGGAGCTGAGCCAATCGGAGTTCTGATCACGCCACATACACCAAGCCTGGTGGCCTGGTGGGGCTTGATTAATGCCGAAAATCCTGTGAAAACTGCTTCTTGGTCCTAAGATGGAAGAAAAGAACAGGTCCTGGCCCTGCAATGGCCCTGGCCCTGCAATGTGCAGTCCATGGACAAGCGCAAGACAAACGCGAGACAAGCGCGAAAAGAGGGTGTGCAGTGGTGTGCAGGCAGTCGCGCAAGCTTCGAGAGCGGGACTGCAAGTACAACCAACAACAGAAAAAATGGAGCTCTGAGATCTCAAACTTGGTAACTCCAGGTGAATTCCAGAACGACCGCCTACAGTGCTCGTCACTGTGTTCGTGTCACCTGCATCAGCTGTGTTGTCTCAGAGCACAACATCACAACATACAACAACGGGGAGGTCTGAGCGGCACGGACTTGTGCTGTTAACGGCCAGGATCCCTTCGCCCGATACCGGAAGGGTGCATCACGTCCGGGCAGCCCGGATGGGCCGGGCGAGGCCACGGGAGGTGGACGCGTTCGTCTGGCTGGAAGTAAAGGCCTTTGTTGCCCGACTCCTGTGGAACAGATGGCATATCATTATTGGTGCCAAATGCCGTGTAAGGTTGAAAAGAATCACCCCCATGCATACCAAACAACTTATGGCAGTTTCTTTTGTATGTCCTTTTTCCCGTTGCTGCGTTCCCACGCCCTTTCGCGCAATGGCGCCTCATCAGCTGGGACTTCTGATCGTGATGAACCACCCAAGCCTTTGAGGTATGGCAACGCCATGGAACACCCAAGCCAAAGCGTCCACAACGGTCAAACGGCTCTGCCAGGCTACTACGCGCCCGTGCAGAGCTGAGCTCGGGATTGGATCGCCCACGGGGAGCCCTCAAAGGGCCCGGGCCATTGGGTTGGCTATGAACCTGAAGAATTTGCCTGGACATTTGAGGTACTGAAATGTACTGAATCACTCTTTCTGTCCACCAGCTGTCAGAGTCACCGTGTTACGCAAGCTTTCGGGCAACACGCTTGACGTCCGATGGTCCGGCAAAAACCAGGCCACCTTGTTGTGTGCTCACATGTGCCCGCCTTCCACGGGTGTCACAGGCTGGGGGTGGATCCACCGAGGCCAAGTTCGATCCCTTCAAAGAGTTCGGAGCTTGGACGGCCGTAGATATGGAGTGGATGGGTCTTCGGACGTGGTGGGTGCCGAAAAAGAAACCAGTGAGGTTATGCAAGGTTGGCAACAACCCATGAGTTCTTTTGTACAAGAGTCACTTTGGACGTCTATTTCATCCTAATTCCTGTTTCCTGTCGGGAGCTGGGAAGGGAGATTATACAGGATGCCATTGAAAAATATTGGAATGAATCCAGAGAAGGAAGCACTCGATGTAAACAAGTGCACACACACACAATTTGGGCGATAGAGTCAGGAGTCACAAAACACCACACCACGAGTCAGGAAGTAGTCAGGAGTCCTCTTACTGTATGTCCTCTTCAGAACTCGGAGCGCAGATGCCTAAGATTTTCGAGCGCGATGAGTCACTCCCGGAAAACGCGTGGATCGCTTCGTCATCCAGCGTCATCGATCGAGGTGGCGCGATCCTGACGAGGCCATGGAAGGACGTGATGGGATGGGATGTTGGACGTGGCTGTGAATTGCTGAGAAATCTGAGAAGACGTTTTCGGCGGTGGCATGTTTTGGATTCATGTTTGAACTTTGAACCCCCAAAAGCGAATTGATGAGGGTCATTGGACCTTGTTCCCAGAGATTGAGCAGAGTGGTTTTCGGACGTCATGAACCTCATCGTGGCGACTGGTTTTTCAGGAGTCTCCACCCCAGTGCCCTTCACAGCTGCTCAGCCGCCCGAGTTCCCAGAACTCGATGATTCGGCGCCCTCTCGCTGCGGGCGTTGCGGGAGCACCCTGGCAGCGGAGAACAACTTCTGTGGGCGCTGTGGCTTGGCACGGAGCACCGACCGTGGCTATCAGCACCCTGAGAAGCTGCTGCCAGGTGGGGAAGTCTGGGACAAGTGGGGAGTTGAATATGGTTGAACGCCCGATTTGATTGTATATATATATATATATGTTAACTTTCTCTCTCTCTCTATATATATATTTGTTATACTTGTTTATTTTTATATGCATTTTTTGCATTTGGCAATCGCCTCGATGATTTCCGCCTTTGGACTCATATATAACTGCAAAATCTTCAAGGCTTCAAAGAACTCTTCAAGGCCGGGGCACGGCCTTCCGACGGAACGGTCGTTCGCAGACATGCTGGACTGGTTGGGCGAAGATGGTTGAACGACACCGCATAGAATGTAGACTCTTGATTAATAACCCCCCCCATATGAACGTGGCCTATGAGCTCGCGGTCCTCCTCGCGGGCGGCTACGGGGCAACTTCGGTAGCAAGTACCTGGTGTGGCTCACTCTGGAGCGGGTAGACAGGTGCAGGTGTATGGGCGGGCGGAGTCTGGAGGTGTATGCTGGGGTGCTGGATGCCGAAGGCAAACCCACTCCAGTCCCACGGGTCTGGAGCCTCCAGATGTTTTGTGCTTGGGCTTCTGCTGGTTTTTCTGCTCAAAGGTGGGGGCGGGACGCGAGCAACCCCCTTCGACATCACAATCGGAGGACGTTGAGGTGCCCTCCTTCGGGAGCGGTGCCTCTTCCACCTTTTGTGTCGTTGGGGTCAGCAGTCGCTCCTGGCCAGAACGCTGCTGTGACGTTTGGGGGGGGTGGGCTCGGCGGGGGTGTGGTTGGGGTCTTAGGCCCGAGTGGCTTCGCCGAGTGGTTTCGCCAGGTGAGGTGCTTTCCGGTGCTGAGGGGTGTGGAGGTGTTGTGTCTGCCGGCTCGAAGAGTGTGTCTACAAAACGGAAGGTTGCGGGGGGACCGGTTCCGTCGGGGTCGCGGCATTTGCGGCGGCTGATGGCCCACGAGGAGTCTTCCGGGTTACGTACGTCGGAATCGCCAGCGTCGAATGGTCAAGAGTTTTCAGAAACTTTCGGCCCGCCGCCGCAAACGCAAGATACATCGGTGGAATTGCACGCCCAACGTCGGTTAGGTGCCCGCTCGTGTTCGGTTGCCGGTCGGGTTCGTTTCGGTCTGCTTGCCTAGAATATTCGAGGTTTAGGGCCTAGGGGCTAGCTTTTCGGGTACCGCGTTGGCTATCTTGCTGTCCGGGCACTACTGAGTTTGCGGGGCCGGCTATTCGCCGTGACCTCTGCCTCGATCTGCCTGGCATCGCCAGAAGACCGGCCCACGCCTGGCTGGGAGCCCTGTGGAGCAGACGCTCTGTTGCTTTCACGGCTTTGCCTGCCTGTCGTCCGGCTGCCTAAGGGGAAGGAGGGGCGGCTGGGGAGGGGCACCGGCTAGGGGCACCATACCCATGTGGTGAGCAGCGGCCGGGGTGGTACCTCCCTAAGCTGCGCAGGAGCGCGGGAGAGTCGGCAGGGCAAACCCCCGTTGTTGTCCCCCGTTAAAGCAGTACGATGAACCTAACAACATACGTCAATAGGTTTATAGTTTGGTTTATATGTACCCCCTCTTTGAGGAGTGGCGCCGGACCGGGGCGCCCATGGAGTGCGGAGACTGATCTCGTTCGTTCCTCCATATGAACGTGGCCAGCCTGCTTGCAATTCTGCACGCGGGTGGCTACGGGGCAACTTCGGCTGCAAGCCCTGATATCGGTGGCGGAGCGGCTAAGTTGGGATTCGTTGAGGTGTGGGGAGGTCGGTGTACTCGCTTGGACAGGGATGCCGAAGGCAAACCCGCTCCAGTCCTTTTAGTGGCTTCCCTCCACTATGCTTGCTGCTCGCAGGTCGGGGGCGGGACGCGAGCAACCTCCAGTGCCTTGCATAAAGGGGGGGACGTTGAGGTGCACCCGTAAGGCCGGGGGCTGTACCTCTTCCTCCACTTTGTGTCACTGGAGTCAGTCGTTTCCGGCCAGAACGCCGCTGTGGTTGGAGTGTGGGACCTTCGCGTTTTGAGGGGAGTTGTGGGGTTGTGGCTGTTGAATGCGTTTTGTGTGGCTTTGGTGCCCTCATGTTTGTGAGGAAGCGCGCTGGGCCAGGGCGCCCATGGCGCGGCGTCTGAGGTTAATGTCAGTTGGTATCGACCTTAGTTGCTGGGCTACCTTCCCCGTTATCGTTATTCATTCCCCATATGAAGAAGATTTCCAACTCAAATGAGGGTGGTGGTGGTGGTTAGTCGAGAGTCTACATTAGGTATGGTTGCATGGTCCGGGTTGAAGATCTGACTGGTCCAGCCCTATGGCTCCTGACTCCTGATCACCCAATGATATCTGAACGCAAAGGTAATCCAGATCCACGTATCAATACCTCAACAAGTCGGTGGGTAATATCATATCTTTGACGGCCACAAGTCAGTGGGCTATTCTGTTTAGGATGGTCCTGATGGGCCAACTTCTAGAGGAACTTATGATTTCCAGAACAACGTACAATGTTGAAGGCACCCCATCGGCTCCATATATGGCTTTCAGGAGTGTTCATGGCGTTCATCCACCTTTAAGTTTGCAGGTTCCCTCCTCTTGGCTTTGTTTTCAGCATATGGCTTAGCACTGGACAGGAAAGACACGGTCCTGGTAGAGGGGAAATCACAGAACTTTGGACGTAACTCTTGGCCCAATTTCTGCCAGGCCCACCATTGCGTCATGATGCATCACAGCCGGGCCCCATGATCAAACCGGCGCTCGGGCCAAGCAGTGGGCGGCCCGGGCCACCCGGGTCGTTGGGGCCGCCACCCGGCACCGTGCGGCCGGGCGGCGTTTGCCCCGGCCCGGGGGGCCCGCTGCTAGGGCCACCGAAGGGGACCATTAAGAGCAGTTGCAGGCACCTGGGGAGGTGGGAGAATATCAGCGGACTCTTGGGTTGAAGGGCTCAGAATGATCAGGAACATGGGGCACTTCTGGACTCGTATGATGAAGCGTTGGCCATTGTTCCGTGGGTTCATGCGCGTTTGCGTCACGCAGGCCAATGAACCGAAAGCATTGCGCACCAGCAATGGGGCCGGTCTGCGGATGACGTGAGAGAAAACTTACAAGAGCGGTTCTTTTCCCCACCCCCAAATGTCGGTATTCTTCAGTATTGCAGAAGGTTCAACATCAGGCACATTTTGCGTCATATCCCCAAACTTGGCAAATCTCAGATACTACGCAATTATCCAGGTGGTCAGTTACAGTATATGTTTCATCATGTTTCATCCAAACAGTCTTGTGTTTTTGTTGAGCAAGAACTTGAGAGATGCTTAAAATTTGCACTCCTGGTGCCTTCGACCACTGGACGCCTCTCGCTGACCCAAGTCCCCATGTCAGCGCTGAAACCGTCAGCGAAGCCCCAAAGCATTGGCCTCTGTGGATTCCACAAAGAGGGAATCGCTCGGGGAGCCGAACTCGGCGCACCTTCGAGCACCGCGCACCTTCGCGACCAAAAGACTTGGGCGCGTTCTTTCCCGGCAGCTTTTGCCAGCCTTGGAGGCATTGTGGGTTGTTTTTGAAGCAACCACTATTAGATAGCATCTTAGACTTCAGGTTTGGTACTCATGGACTTCATGTACTGTAATGCAGAGAGCAGCCAATGGAGAGAATTGACTCTGCCCGTTTCAACTGCAAGAACCTGCGAGTTTCTTTTTTTTTTTTAATCTTTCCTTGCCTGGTATATGTTTTTCAAATTTTGTAGCTTGGCTTACAACTGTCTCAGCATGTCTCAGCTATTTCGGTTGAAGAACAGTTAGTTCACCAGCAGCCGAAGGACACATGGCTTCACAAAGGGAAGATATGGAAGAACAGTTCTTTTGAGCCAGGGTTGCACTTTTGAGTATTCACATACATGTCATGAAAGGTCCTGAATCAACGAGATTTCCGGAGTCACCAATGAACATTTGTAGATTGACATGACCCTCGGACCGTTCAATGAGTAATGATGCGACGCAATGATGCAGCAGGCTGGTTTCACTGTTGTTGTCAGAGGGTTTCCTACTTACCGATTCAGACTTGCGAGTGTTCTTGCGAACGTAGAGTCTTAGAGATAGACGGGCAGGCAAGGATTTCTGAATATTCCAAAAGTATCGGATACACATCCTTCCCTCTTTCTATGTTTGTTACATGTTTGCTACGTCACGAATGGTACAGTGATACACAGAGGCATGGTGGCTCTTTGACAGGCACTATTAACTTGTTTGTTTGCACGTGGATGCAAAACATTGGAAAATACTGCACAGTGACGAATGATGCTGGATCACAAGCTCCTAGGTCAATGTCAAGACAGTAAAGTGCTATAGAGTGGTTTGATTTTGTTCTGCAACTTTAACCCTAGAGGTACATTCTTTGTCACAGGCCTGACTCAGTAGCTGCTTAGAATCTAGTTGAACCTTTTTCTAGCGTTTCGTGTCCAAACCCTTTTTGTTTGCGCATTTCTGCGCAATGTTCCATCCCAGTTGCTGCAGGCAAAGCCTCATGGCATCTTGCGCTGCCTGTGCACATGTTTCCTTTGCGCGGTCTCCGCGCAATTTGCGGAGCTCCTTTGCCCAGACAAGAGTCGGTGTGAATTCATCCCATCTTACTCCCAGAATTGCGAGTTTCTTCCAGACAAATGGAACTATTGCGTGTACTGGTAAAATGGGAGATCCCATCAATCCCATCCTTCGATTCGTTGCAATCCTAGAACTCTGCAGAACCCTGCCAAATGAGGTTTGACTACCTCCGGAATTCAGGCCGGTTCAGTCAGTGTTTTTTTAATTTTGCGAGGAGGTCAGATGCTTGAGGGTTTCGCCCGGTGGGAAGATATTTTGTTTTTAGTCGGGAACACTTAAGAAACAGACCTGGCTGACTTTGATTGACGCTAATGGCTTGGATTTGTGCTTGCTCACCCAGGTGTGAGCACATAGCTATAGGCAGCTCATGATACAGGGACACGATGACATGACAGGACAGTCTTCTGCAAATAGAGTTGTATCATGTTATATGAGTTACTTGTAACAGGTAGAAAGAGAGCCAGAGCGAGAGCAAGAGAGAGAGAGAGAGATAGAGATAGAGAGAGCTCTGCTGCCTCACGCTGCATGGGCTCACAGATGATTCCAACACTGTACTTGTGCCGTGGCGCCCGCGGCTGTGGCCCCCCATGCCGCGTGGCACTCGCTCGCCTGGGCGGCCACGCATGCACATGGCGCTCAGCGGCGCGGGCGCCCCGAGCGCCTGGTCCAGTGTTTCTGCGCGGAACTGCTACCTCCAGTGAAGCTAAGGAACGTGTTTGGCATTTGCCTGAGTGGGCCAAGCAGGAACCACGACCTCCGATGCAGCTCCGCTTGTTGGGCTTTGGCATGTTGGTTCCCCTGGCCGCCGGCTCTCTGGCGGTGCATTTGCTGGTGGATGATGACTCAGAGGCCGAGGACGACCTCAGTCGGGTGGCTTTGAATTGGTCCTTACACTATGCTGGCGCTTTGCTCTCTTGCGCAGGTGCCCTTCACTGGGGCATGCAGGTAGCAGAGCTTGGTGTGCCCAAGCGTAGCGACTACATGGGTTTGTACTACCTGATGCGCTTCAGTGGCCCTGTGGTCTTTGTCTTCTTTGGATGGCTGGGCTCGGTCTTGACCACGGCGCTCCCCGTGGAGGCATCTCTGTGGCTGCTCACGGGCTTTACCGGCTTGCTCAGTGCCGACTGGCTAGCGAAAGCCTTCCGGGTGGCACCAGCATGGTGGTTCCGGTGGAGAGCGGGCTTCAATCTTTCGGCCATGGGCTGCATCTTGATCTTGCTGCTGAGTGAGCGCAATCTCTATCTGGGCCAAAAGCCAAAGATTCGCATGTGAGAAAAAAGAGGGATTGCTTTTCATAGCGGCCAGTTGTACGAGCTTGCATTAGAAAGATTGTGGACGGACGAGTTCATTCAGGGAATCGTGGTACGCTTTCAGTTGATGCAATTGTTTGGAGGCCCCTTTTGCCCAAGCGCGCTTGAGCTCCTCGGCTGCAGAAGAATCGTGGTTCCCAACAGTATGTGTATAAATGCTCCAACTACGATCAAAGAACGTGCAGAGGAGGCTTCTTGACGCCAACTCATGCGACACCATCATTTCGAGCCAATTCGCACAAAAACACGTTGCGTGCACTACATCCGGATTTGTCAGGCTGTTTGATATATTGAGTAGGTTGGAGGCCATCGCTTGTAGGTTGGAGGCCACCGCTAGTAGGTTGGAGGCCACCGCTAGTAGGTTGGAGGCCATCGCTAGTAGGTTGGAGGCCACCGCTAGTAGGTTGGAGGCCATCGCTCTTAGGTTGAACGACAGTGTAACTTAGTGACTGGAAACTCATCCAAGTGCCAGTCGGACGGCAAAACCCAGCAAAGCTGAGCTGCTTTATTGTCTCGCCGTATTAACTCATGCCGGTGTTGACACAGTTCATCCATTCTGAAGTGAGTTGACTTGAGTGAGGAGATGTGGCGAATCGGCCAACCTCATCCTCCCAAACACGAAGTCAGACGAAGAACATGAACACACACACAAGCTGCACGTTCTCGCATGGACGTGATGAATCTTTTAGGCAAAGCGACGGCCAAGTTGCTCGCAACAACTTGGATGCTAGAGTTGGCCGAGACCAGCACATTTTCCCCACTTGACAACTTGCCTGTAGTAGACGCCACACACCGAGTGTGTCCACCGAATTCCGGGCACTTCACCAACACCAACCTATAGCAATTGCAGTGCACACTCGATTTCGATCGCACCTGTTTCGCTGCACCTGAGGCTTTGGTACTTGAGGGTGCCTTACGGCGCTGGAGTAGCAAAGTGTGGGGAAGGCGCTGGAGTGGCCGTTGGCATGCAGGGAGTGGGGATGAGACTACGAAGGCAATGCCACAGGCACAGTATTTCTAGCACTAGCCACGATTCTTGGCAACCCCAAAGTTGCCAATTGCTTGGGAAGTAATAGAAAGTGCAACCGAAGGAGGTCTTCTCCCCAAGTATCAAAGCAACTTCACGAGATTTTCGATGAGTGAGTCCAGGCGACCTGATGTTTCCGGAGGTTTCTCGTCTCAGTCGCCTCATGACTCAAGAATGATCACCCCTTACAGGACGCCACACATCTTTACGGTGCCAGTGATGTCGGGCCAACAATTTGGCCGTTGATGTTAGGCATTTTATGGCATTTCTTTGGCCATGCGGACCATGCGCACATCATAGCTTGATGATTCTGGGGTCATGAGATTTCAGAGGATCTTGACGGATTTTGTAGGTCACGCCTCTCCGATTTGGTACGACTCCTGGGCAGATTCAACGGTGTTTGCGGAAGGTTCCTTTTGGCATGAGGACTACTGTGACTGGAGTAAGGATTTATATAGCCAACAAATGCCAACAAAAACTAGGTCACCCTTCTTCTAAAGGTCCAGGAAAGCTAGGGTTAGTTTTGGCACCTGGGCGCTGGATGGTCCTGGCACGAGATCTGCTGACAATCTCGCACCTGGTGTCTACCCAAATCTTTCTCAAGAAGCATTGTTGAGGGATTGGGATCACGCAAGAGCCATGGAGCGAGAGAGAGAGGATGAGAGAGGGGTGGCTCATTTGGCATGCCAATTGTACTATGATGCAGCTTCTTGATCTGGCTTTGATGTCAGGGACATTGGACGGCCCTCCTTTGCCAGAGAGTGTTGAACTCAGCCGCTTTTTATTCCTTTGGTGGAGCCTTCATGTCCGTTTTGTCATGTCTTGTCACTATCTTTGAATCAAGAGCTTTTGACCAGAGAAGCACGCTGTCGCATGACAGCGATTCAAGCCTGATTGCAGCCAGTCACACCACATGCCCATGCCCCAGTCGTCAGTCGTCATTGAAAACAACAGGGACCGGTCGTCGCCCGGTCGTCGCTTTGAGGGACGAAAGCCGCGATCGGCAGGGCCAACCCCACCGCCACCCACGAGCACCACGACCTTCACAGTGGTCACCACCGTGCCTGGCTTTCAGCAGGAAAACCAGGCGCCACTGGTTGAGACAGGTCTTTTTTGACCTTGAAGGCTGTGGTGGTGGTGTTGTCGTTTCTTGATGTTTTTTGACGGTATATCGTGTTTGTTTGGCTGTTCTG